AACTAAATTGTGTATGTTGTTCTGTGTGTTGGGTGAGAAAAGTAGATACGGTTTAGGTAAATTTTAAGGTGAAAATGCATTTTGTGGGAATAAAAGTAGCATTTTTGTTACCTCTAACTGTTCTGTTTAAATTAATTTTCTTTGGGAAAGACTCAGTAAATGGTCAGAATTTCTCTAATTTAGGGAATGGTCTTTTTCTTGTGATGTGATGTCTTTTTCTTGCTCAGTGATGAAGTGTAGCTGCTTCTGTAGTAATAACTGAGTAATACTTCTAAGTTTCTAAAGGACACAAGAAGAAAATAGTTCTATTAAGTTCATGTAATTTTCTATGGAAACTGAGGGTTACTTCAAATCTGCTTACTTTTGATGAGCATTAAAGGCTGGGCCTTGAATGTGTTAAATGTTTTTAAACAGGGCTACCAGTTCTCTTAGTGCTGCTATTGTTCCAAGATGATTCTGGAATCATAAGAAAGAAAAAAATTCCTCATGATTTATATGAGGTGGGAAGGCAGTGTATAATGCTTATTACACTAAATTCTTCTAATGGTTGGTGTTCATCATGATTGCATTTTTAGGTGAGATTTGACACCTGTAGTATTAATCTAGCTGCCAAATTAAATGTTAGAGGCAGTGGTCAACTCTTGCAATCTGAGAAATATACTTTATTCTCTGCTTTTGGTGCCTTGGTGCTCACAGAGGAGCATCAGGTAAAAGCAGAGTTTAATTGCCATGAGGGCTTCTGTCAGGCAGAGACCCTGAGGCTCAGATGACCTCAGTCCCAGGTCAGAAGTTAAAATATTAATTATATTGGTTTAATGCTGCTTTGGATTTGAAGCTTTGTTGTCAGACTCTGTAACAGAACCACCTTGGTGTTTTATGGAAACCAGAGAAATATCATTAACTTCTTTTGAAGCTCTGCTGCTATTTTTAAGGCTGGATGGGGTCTTCAAAGTGGTTGCCAAGGCAAGAGTGAGCCATGGATCTGTTGCTTTCCAACTGACATAACTGTATTATCAGTTATTTTTGAAAAGCTTGCATTTTATAATGCATCAACTTTAACCTTTTCAGTTTAAATGCTTGTTTATTTAAGCTGTTCCTCTTTGGGGCCGTCACTGATGAATAAGAGTATGTTTTGTTTGAGAATATGACCTTGGGCTCTTTTTCAGTCTTCTAAGTAAACTTTCACATGAAATATTGTGGGAAAAAAAATAACCTGTAAATCACAGATTTCTGTCAGTATAATGCATTGTTGCTATGTGTAGTTCTGAAATAAGAAATCAAGATAATTCTGATCATGTAAGGCAATAATGGAAAGGCCACTTTGACCACAACTGCTTTAAATTTCAGTGCAAGAGTAACACCGTGACCAGTGATTTTTAAATGAGGGTTAAAAATCACATGGGTCATCTGACCTTACCTTGGAGTTGCAGTGGCTGAAGAGTGCAGATACTTAAAACTGTGCTATTATCAGCTAAGGCAAGATGGGAAATAAAACATGAAGACTGTGGTTTCTTTAGTGGTCAGAATAGTGCCCAAATGCTCACACTTGTTTGCTTACTCCCTTCAGCTGAGCCAAATCAGCTGTTTGTATGCTGACATATTAAAGTGGGTCAATGCAATCTCTGTGGTTTAAAGGAACATTCCATAAATACAGTGGTTGATGGGTTTGGAACATTCTATAACAAGCTTTCTGCTGGAGAAATTGGGTGGAAAATGAATTCTCTATTTGACACAATCTCATTTATTTTCTAAGGGGGGTGGGAATTGGAGAGGATAATAAATAAAATATATTTTAATATATTCAAATATAATAAAATACTGTATTTTAATAATAAAAAGATATTAAAGGATAATAAAAATAAAAAGTAATACTGCAAGAGTAAATTTTTTAGGAATTGTATTTGATTTGCATGTGAAAAACTCGTGTTGATAAGAACCAAATGGTTCTGAAGACTTAATGTCCATGTGCAATTCATTTGTTCTGTCTTGCAGGGCTATGGAAAAGCAGATCACTCAGTGACTGTAGAGATACTGAAGAAAGAGTATACAGATTATGAAATTACATGGTCAGATGACAAGAAATAAACTTGTGAACACAACAAGCAGTTCCAAACTGGTAACTGAGATGTACTCGGATAAATAAAATTGAATGTGTTCAATGTATGTAACCATAAATCTGGAGTAACTGGACTCTGCCATACTTTATAATATGGTTGATAATCCTCAGATATATCTTATTTTTTAGATCATTCCTTTGTGCAGAATCTGAAGTTCTAACCCTTTTTCCTTTCCTTTTGATGCGTCCTTTAGTTAAACAATCCCACACCATCTTACCTCTAATTTGTTTTCATCCAGTCCCATTTCACTTATCTGCTGGATGATGAGGATTTACCATCAACTTCAAACACCACTGGACCAAACCTGTTCACTGGTCTTTTGACCACAGTGTTTTAAATTTATTTTTCTATTACTTTTTAGGCTTTTCATTTTTCTTACCCACATTTAAAAAAGTTGGTGTGGAGGGTGGGGTTGACTGTTAACAGTTCTTCAGCAATGATCCAAATCTTTGATTTAATCAATGATTTTAAAATCTAGTGTTCTGCAGAAGTAATGATCAAAATATTTGATTTTCCTGTAAGAACCTTCCCTATAGCAGTCTGATGGCAATGTAAAATCGTGAGCAAAAAAAGCTTTTTCTTTTCAGCATGCAAGTGACTCCTAGAATACAAACCAGGAAATCTGAGAGACTTTAGGCCAGTTTCACCAAAAATCCTGCTGTTACTCCCTTCTTACAGTTGTGATCCATCTTAAGTCACCTTGCTGTGGCTTTGTTTTGGTTGGGTGGAGAAGAATTTTCTGTTCTTATCCTCAAACCTTTCAGTCCAGTCCTCATCAGAAGAGTTCCAGGGGTCTCTATCCCAATAATCTCAGAGCAGCATCTCCTGAACCTGGTGCTACAGATCTCTTGGTTGGCAGCAGATTCCACCTGTTTGGAGCCTGGATTTTCCCCTCCAGCACACCTTTGCCTGCTTTTACATCTGCTCTTTGTGCTTCTTTTTGAGTTCTTGTGCAATGGCTGCACTTGAGATACTGTGGTAATGATTGCAGGATTGATTTTACATAACAAGACTTTGATTTGTGCCTAATAACCAAGAATAGCACACAAGTCAGTAACCTGTAAATGGGGCACTTCCCAGTTCTGTTATCATGGGCTTTTTTTCCCCCCTAAGCTTTGGTGAAATAACTGTAGTTGCCAGTATACAAACCTGGGTTTTAAATAGCCTCATTTCCCAAAACTGGCAAATAGTCTTCAAGTGGAAGTCATCAGTTAGGAATAGCTGTGTTAAAACAAACAAGTCTTTCAATTTAGTTTCCTGAGGTATTTAATGAGAGATTTTAATCTTTGTCCTCACAATACTTACAGGAAAGACGTAATTTTGACTGGACTTATTATTGTAATGACTTGTTCAAAGTGTGAGGTGATGGCATGAGGGGAGAAAAACAGTGATGATTTGGAGTGAGCTGATCAAAATTGAGTTACCTGCTGATCTCTACCCTTCATTTCTTTATAGAAGAAAGATTTTCATGTGTCACAAAAAAAAAAAATAAATACTTTGAGGGACTTTCCAGTTCAGTTATTTTTTAGTGCAGTGTCATTTGGGGCAATTTAATTTCCCTGGTAATTAAGTAATACAAATGTTACAAAGGAATGAAAAGTTTGTTACTAGAGTGGTGATGATTTCTCGGGTAGAGCAAGCCTTAATGTAGATGAGGGAAATCAGTATTGTTTGAAGTTGAAACATCAATTACCAACAAAACTAAGTGTTGAATTCTGTTTCCTCTCAGCATGTACCTGCTGAATCTTAAGAACAGAACTCATCTAGAATATGGAAATCCCAATGCCAGTTGTGCTGATTGCACCTGAGAAAAAGCATCCTTCATTTTCTAACAGAATCTGAAATGGGAAGCTAGTTACACTGTGTGGGGTTGTTTTGCAGGTGTGCAATGGTAAAATTGTGGCTCTGCCATTCTTCCCTCAAAGTCCTAAAAGTTCTGATTCTGTATTTGCACAAAGCCAGCTGTGTTTGAGCCAAATACTGAGTGAAGGCACAGTAATTAAACCAAAGATGGTGAGTTTGATAGTGAAATATTATCAAGAGGAAATACTATAGTAGAAGATTTTAAGCACCTTCTTCATTTATTCATCCAAAATTACACAAGACTCTTGTTCCTAACCATATTCTTTGTCATAGTGGTCAGCATTTCTTATTACTTCAGGTGTGGTTCTCTGGAACTGCACTAGACTAGGAGGTGTAGAACAATCTATTCAGTGCAAGCCATGATTTATTTTAGGATTGAGTTTGAAAAATGACAAATGGTAATCCATTTATTCCCAGCTTCTCTGTTTTGACAGGGGAAAAGAAAAATAAAAAGAGCTGTTAAGAGTACCTTCTTGATTTGCCAAAGCTAAAACTTTGTTTTGTTCCTAAGTCTGTAGTCAGCAGTTATCATTAAGTTTCAGAGCCGGTGCAGAAAAATTCCAAAGCACTGTGGCTGTCATGGCAAAACTGACTTTTTTCCCTCCCTCTCCTATTCTATGAGAGGCTAAATTCAGTAGTTTCCAAAGCATCCCTTTCAAATCATCTGGAACAGTAGCGAAGGCTCTTCTGTAAAGTACAGGAAATCCTTTACAACTCAATAGCAGCAGGTTCAAAATAGGAACCTCAGGATTGACTTTCAGCATCTTCAGTGATGGAAACTTGATGGTGTAATTAAAGAGATTTAGATCCCTGCTGTGCTAAGTTTCTTTCCATCCCCTCAGATTATTGTTCCTTCTGCTCTACACTGAATAACTTTGCATCCAGTTTACTGCAGTGGTCAGTCTGCAGGATTGTATTCCTGCAGGGGCATTTCATAAAGCAGTGCATGATGACAGCAGCTGTCTAATACCTTTCTGTCTGGTTTTGGCCAAGGCAAAACATGCATTAGATTTAATTTTATTTTTTTTGTTTGAATTGCTGGTGACAGTGCTCAAGATCAGGTTTTGTAGTTCTTTGGGGGCTTGTTTGCATTTTTTGGTAAGGCAATTTCTTCAGCAATATCACTATCTTCAGCCTAGGAGAGTGCCTTGTATTGCAGGCTTTCCTGAGTGCTTTCAAACTGCTGTGAAAAGATTGAAGAGATGTTGATGTTCAGTAGTACCCCCAGCAAATATTGAAAACAGGGCAATTAATTTCTGGAAAAATCTTATTAAAACAGTACAGCAATCTATTAAACTCCTATAATAGCAGTTTATCTCCTTTTCCAGTTGTCTCCTAAAGCTCAGTTCTATCATCCTCCAGTACTTCATTTGTAGGCTTATTGGTTGGTAGAAAGAGCTTATCTTGTGTAGAATAATCTTTCAAGTCAGCTTCTAAACCAGCATGGCTTTTTCTAATTCCTTGCTGAAATTTTCTTAGCTTACAACGGAATCTGAATGTGAAATTTTACAGACCATGGTAGTTAATATTGTTACACTCTTTAAAAGGCTTGAATAAGTCATGTGTACATTACACATGGAAATATAACATGGATTTCTGAGATCCCTGGCAGGGTAGAACACGAGTCATAAATACAATCACATCCCCCTCTGTTGGCAAAGCAGCAGAGCTCAGAGCTGTGTGGTCCTGCCTGAATCTGGCTGCAGTTACAACAGTTCCCAACACTTGAGAACAGTCTCCTGCACTAATTTTGGATGCTAAGTTTATCTCATTCAGCCACAATACATCATGTATCTCATTCCCATGTCATGTATGTCATTCCTGTGATGTACAGTTCTGGTGCTGACAGAGAATGTGAAAGCCTGTCTGGAGACAATTGCTTAATTTATATATATAAATTAATTATCATAAACAGATGCTGCTTTAAGCTGCACTCTATGCAAAGTCAACATCAGAAAAGTCCCTCACTTCTAGTCAGACACCGGAATTTGTCAAACATTTCAACAACCACCATCCTTAATTCATTAAACCAGAAAAACAGGAAGAAGCAAAGAGACATGAGGATTAAAACATTTATGAGTTATTTTTGGAAGATCAGGAGTTTAATTTTAGCAGCAATTTTTAAAGGCAATTTCCATAATGCATCGCTGCAGACCCTGATCAATTGTTTTAACCATACTGGTCCTAAACACGTTTTTCTCTTCAATAAATTTCTCAAAGAGATAGATCCCACCACCAACTCCAAAATAATGCACTTTGCTTGCCAAATACACACGGCCCTTTCTGTCCAAGAGCTGAGCCAGTGTATCATGCAGAGCACTGTAGTAGTCAGGATTATAGATGGTCTCAGAGGTGAGAATTATATCGTACTTTGAGCAGGGTTTGTTGCTGTTTAACAGGAGCTGGCTGACTTGAGACCACTCTCCAGAAAAAAATCTGCATCTGTTGAGCACATCAGGTGAGCCCTCTGCCTTCCTGGGCCTCTTTGAAGGAGGCTTCCTGGCTTTTCCGTCCTTCCCACTGCCCATCATCCTCCTGCCTTCACTGATACAGTTGGCCACCACATTGGGCAAGGTTATTTCATCAATCACTGTGCTGTTGTAGTCCTGAAAATGGACTTTGGCAGCTTCACCCTGTAAAGCAACAATTCCCAGCAATCCAGCCCCACAGCCAAGATCCAATACAGTCTTGTTGGTAAATTTTATTTCAGCCTCGGAAAAGTAATCCATGAGATCAAAGGTGCATTCCCAGATTTTCAGTCCTCCTTCATAGACTCCTGGGATGAGATCAGAGTGAGAAGAAACACTTTTGGAAACGATGCCTTCGCTGTCAGCGTCACCTGAACACGTCATTTCCACTTCAGACAGCTTTACATAAGAAAAATCCAATACTGTTTCCATGACTTTATTTTCCAATACTTTGTTGAGATCTTCAGGAATGCTGTGCTCCTTGGCAGCTTTCACACAGAGTTTTTTCTTTGAAGCTGCCTCATCCCCGTGCTTAGCAGCAGCCAGCTTCGGGCTGGAGTCTGCTGCAGGATCGGCAGTTTCCCTGCTCTTTCCTCTGGATTCCTGCTTGTGCTTTGGAGAGCACAGCAGTAAGAACTGAGCATCTGCCTCACTGTTCTCATTTTCGTCAACAGCAAAATTAAACTGAAAATCCATTTTTCAGGAATAACAGTTTTTTAAAAAGCTTAATTTATTGCAGCCATTTTTTATGTAGTTATTGTTGCAGGGCAGAGTATTTTGCTGGTGCAGTAATAGACGTCTTGCCAAGAGCCAGGTGAATTGCTGCTGAAAAAAAGAGTAAATAATTTTATATATCATTAATATCAGCACAAACCGTCTAATTGTAGCATCCTGATTTTCATTACCAGGCTCCCCCGGGAAGTCGTGGCGTCTCCCTCTCTGGAAACGTTCCAAATCCACCTGGACGCGTCGCTGTCACCAGCTCTGGGTGACGCTGCCTTGGCAGAGGGGTTGGACCGGATGATCTCCAGAGCTCCCTTCCAAACCTAACTATTCTGTAATTTCAAAAACCCGCTCTCTAGCCGCTTAAGTTTATTAAAACACAGCGTCACCCGTGCCTCCATCTCACATACCGCAGGTACAGGCAAGCGAAGCAGGACAGCTGCCAACTCCGCTAAAATTCCCATTTCAGCCCTCTGCGTTTCAAGGGGCGCAAACCCAGCGCTCCGCTGCGGCGCAGGCCGGGTGAGGAGCTCCGGGAGTGTTTTCCATCCCGTTTTCCCTGCCCCGTAGCCGCGGCTGCCGCTCCGGGCCACGCTCCGCTTCTCTCCCACGTGGAGCCGCTTCCGCTTCCTCGGGCGCGGCGCCTTGTGGGAGCGCGGGGCGCCTTTCCCGCCACTGCCGCACGCTGAGGGGAGGGAGCGCGGCCGCCGCCATGTCCCAGGCAGACCCCGAGCTGCTCCTGCGGGAGCTGGGCGGCTGGGACTGCGAGCTGTGCCGCCGGGAGCTGCCCGCCGTGCTGCCCCGGCTGCTTATATCCTTCCCAGCAGGGCTTTTGGGTGGCTGCGGGAAAGGCACAGGAGTGGTGGTGGTGGTGGGGAGTGTGTGTGTGCATCCTTCAGAGTTCCGCGGTTCAAGCAGCTGTGCGTGAGGGAGGGCGGTGGGACCTTTGTGAGGGGCTGGGAGTTTTGCTGGAGACGGGTACTGCCTTTCTCTGGAATAAAAGATTCATAGAATCTAGAAAATCTCGTGTGGTTCATTTAGCACTGTAGGTAACTCCCCGACACAGCTCTTCCCCGCTATCCCACCCCCCACCAGAACAAAACAAAAGAAACCAAACCCCCTAAAAAAAACCCCGAACCACAGACCACCAAAAAAACCAGCCCCCAAAAAACAGCAAAAAACCCCTCAAGACTTATTCTCTAATACATTTTGGAAATACCTTGTTGATCCTGTGGGTGCTCTTGCGTTGGTTATGGAGCATCCCCACCAATTTCATGCGTACATGGGACAGTGCTAGAAGTCACTGTGGCTTCTGCAGGTGCTTTAAAGATAGCCTTTATAGCAGAACAAGTTTGATTTTCTTTAACGTTTTTACTCAATGTATCAAGAGTCTGAAGACTGGACTGAGCATATTCGTAAGTAATGGCTAAGAAGTGCCTCTTCCTGTACTGCAATTGCATTAAAATCACTGCAGCACTTAAAATACTTCTGCTTCAAGTTTTCAGATTCTTCAGCAATCCTGCTGGACCTTGCACACTCCCCTAACTGCACGTTGAATAAATTTTATAAATGTCCCTAGAGAAACTGCATCTAAGGCTGTTTTTTTCCTTTCTGCTACTTCTGATCTTTAAATAGACAAAAAAAAAAAGGTGGTTTCTATCTGGTGTTTTATTGTCTTTTGGGCTGTTATCTTCCAGGTGACAAAGGTGATAGTTAAAAGAAAATGAGGCTCATATGTAACTGTTTATGAGTGTTGCTAAAACTCACTGTTACATTGTTTATTATGTTGCATGATAAAACGTGCAACTATTTGCAGTTTGGAATGTGGCAAATACTAGATCTGTATGCTGGCAGTTGTGCTCAGCCTTCAACTAAGTTTAGTCAGGTGTGCTGCTATTTTTGGTGGGTTTGTGCATGTTGGGGCTGTTACTTGATTTTTCAGATCATGTATGTGTGTTTTCATGCATTTCAGATATGGTAAATGCTCTGTTGTCTCAAAATCAAGTACCTGATCTGTTTTTGCTTTCTGCAGTTCTTTGTTTCCTCTGGTAGATTGCTGTATATTTCTGAGAATTGCACATTGTAAATGTTTTTTTTGCAGGTATTTTGAGGATCTTGACTGAAATGTTTTTGCCACATATCAGCCTTGAAGATGTGGAACAAATTTTTTTCTCAAAAGTATTACCTAAGGTAGGAATGTTTTAGTTAACTGTGGAATTGTCAGTCAGTCCGGTGTTAGAACCTGCTTAGATTGCAGTGATTCTTCTTTTGGGGTTGCAAAATACCTATAGGATACAAAAATTGAAATTGTAATTTTACCCTTTAAGAGTTTTCAGTGTTGTGTTGAATTGTTTCTGTGATTTTTCTCATTCTTTACAGTAGGGAGAGAATCAAATATACAATGCTCTGCTTTCTGTATTCAGCAATAGACTTGGGTTTTATTTCTTTCTGAGATTGGGCTTTTTAAAAAATGACCAAAGTGGAGAGTTTTTAAGTGAGGGAGCTTCTCAGGACAAGTAAACTGAAGAGCTCAACTCTCCCATATCATGAATAAATGTTGTGAAATTTTTGAATTAATACAGTGAATAAGGTTTTAGACCATACTGACCTCACGCATTTTCTTTTTTGATTAAATGATGGAGAATTTTGTGCCATGGTTGTATTAAAATCAGTGCTTGCATTTTAAGTGAAGCGGTGCCAAATTACTGATTTAAGTTTCTGATCTCAGCTTGTCCATTTTAAGAAGCCAGTAAAAATGGCCACTTGATTTCCCTTGCTCTTATTTTATCTCAAGCAACAAATTTTTTGGGGATTACAAGAAAATTGTCTCATAAGAGGCATATCCTGAAAAAGGATCACTGTACCACTGTACCACTGTTTATTCTGCATGTTCCCAGAAGCACTTCAGCCTTTGCAGTCTCAACAGTAACACTCATCAGACATCCAAAAACCTCATCTGAAGTAGAAATAGATGTTATTTGTACCTCACAGGCTTATTTTTAATTACTGTATTCCAAATGTTAATAATCATTCTCAACAAGTATTTTTTCTGAGACAAAATGAAAATCTTTTTTAAATTACGTGGTTTTAACTAAGTAAAAAATCTCTGGTAGAGTGAGGTTTCAAGCAAATTTCAAGCAAATTATGTGTGAAGCTTGTTTTAGCAACAGATCTTAGAAAAAAAAATAACAGCCACAATATCTTCTCTCTATTATGTATATATTTAAGTGGTTTTTGCTTCTTGTTATATCATGCTTTATGACTCAAATGCTGGAAAGTGTTTTCTGCTGTGAGTTCTCTCTGTGCCTCCATGCCAAGGAATCAAGCAGGTGTAGAATGGTGTTTTTATTTGCACGTGCACCTTTGTAAGTAAAATGTTTCAGTTTTGCTGTGTTCTGCCAGACTCTGCAGTTCTTTGATAACCTGATGTGTGAATTATCCAGCAAGGCCAAAGGACTGACCAACCAGAGTACAGAATTGTGCAGCACTGTAAGGAATCTGCTACAGGCAAGTCCCATCACATAAGCTGTCAAAATAATGTTTACATCACTCTTTGCTTTTACCTAAGCTACTAAAAGGTTTTTTAAAATGTTTTTGCCAGCTACTGATGGTTAAAATGTAATTTAATCTACCTTCATAGCTGAAGTTCAGTTAACATGATTTGATTAGATTTGGCATGTGATGCTAATAATTTTAAAAATCATCTCAAATTCTGCTCCAAGTCCCTCCTCCAGATGGAATGTGACTCCCCATATTTAAAGAGTGTACCTGGCACCTGTTTATACAGTCACTTCTGAATTTTAACAGAAATAATTTTTAAATTTGGAACAATAGTCAAAGAAATAAGGAATTTTCACAGAGGATATGGTATCAGAGAAAAGCTCTGGAGCTTAATTAATGTTTAAAAAACTACTTATTTATGCAAATAGCTGTGAACTTTAAATGCCATAAAAATCCAGGTGTATTTCAGCTAGGAAAAGATGCTTTTGGAGGTATTTCAGGAGTGGTTGATGTTGTTGTCTCTTGCTCTCAGACCGTGGTGCAGCTGCTGGAGGCGCTGACGGGCTGCGTGCGCTACCTGTGCTCAGTGCAGGAGCTGTCCCTGCAGAGCATCCGCTCCCTCCCTTTCTCCGTCCTCTGTGTGGTAAAGAGCACCTTCACACACTGCAAGGTAGAGCTCTGCTGCCAGCTCAAAAATCCTGGTGCTCCTTGGCTTTTGGGAAACACTTTAGAAGAAGATCTTACTTTGAAATGATACTGCTGTTGACATCTTATTCTTTTAACTTTAGTTGCTAAGTCGTTTTCATAATGCACTCAATGCACAAATACAAAGATGATTTTTCAGCTGTCTGCCTTGCTGGTGAGAGGCTCAGACTGGGCTATTTCCATCCTTTTCATCAGTGTTAACTGAACATTCTGCTCGTGACCAAAGTGCTCTGAGGGATCTGTGCAGTCCTGATGGCTACAGTGTTTACAGAGCTACAAATGGCAAATTCCAAAGCGGATTGAAAGGAGGTTTATGTTGGTTACAGTGAGCAGTGTGTATCAGTTTCAGATATGGATTGATCTGGGTTTTCCCGTGCAACAGTAGTTCCCTCTAAGCATTGAAAATAAAACAAGATTATCATAAGGATGCACTAACTTTTGGTTGCCTTTCATTTTCACTTTTAATATTTCTTTCTTATGGGAACATTTACATCAGTTTTCCACGTCAGGACTCAAACTCAGGTGCCATGTCTTTATCTAGTAATTCTAATTGGAAAGTTTTTGGAATGCTACTTCCTTCGTTGCTGACATTGTCGTGTTTGGTTCAGAAATACCATCTTAAGGGCTGATCCAGAGCCCCCTAAACTCACAAGAGCCAGCCAGACCTCCTTAGTTTCCCATGAGCTGCAGGTGCACATAGTTGATATTGAGTGCTCAGGGGCTGTGTATTGAGTTAAAGTAGCTACATCTATGCCTTGTTCCTTTTTCCAGAGAAATGTATGGTGTTTTCTGCATGTGAAAAATCAGGCTGTGAGTCCTGAGCTCTTTCACAAACCTCTTCCTCCCCGTTTCAGGACAGTGAATCACTGTACTATGGGCACCTGCACTTAATTTCTGACCTCCTACAATCCGTGTTCAAGGAAACTTACTCCCTACAGAAACAGCTGATGGAACTGGTTGATCTGATTTCCTTAGGCTCTGCTTCCACTGAAGATGAGATCACCTATATGGTGTCAGGTATACATGGATTTGATCCTTTTTTACTCTTGTTCAGTCTTTTTTTTTCCATGGAGAGTGTGTTTGAAGTTTTAAAACAGGTTTCTGAGTGTGCTCAGTTCCTGCTGTCCCGACCAGCTTTTCAGAAAGCAGCATTTTGAACTCAAAATATTTCCATTTTTCTCTTGAAAAATTTTTCTTCCTCTGTGGGAATGTTGTGTAGGTTTGTAGGAAAGGGGCAGCACCTAAACACTGAGCCATTTTCCCAATTCATGTCAGTGTGCTGGTATTCTCTCAGAATTGTCTTGGGATTGCTGTGAGCTCATAAATCTGATTTAACTCTGTTGCTGCTGCTGTTATTTCCTTAGTAATCCACACTGTGCTGGAGATCTGCTCTGTCATTTCC